TTTAACAAAGCTAAGTGAGATGAGTGAGTCATCACACCCTAAAGCTGCTGACGTTATCAGGCACGACTTTTACGTAGATGATCTACTAACTGGTGCTGCATGTGCAGAGAACCTTCAGACAATTAAGTCTGCAGTGTCGCAAATACTCAAAAGCGCAGGTTTCGAACTAACCAAATGGTTTTCGAATTCACCTCAGTTCTCCGCAACAAACGCAGCTAAGTCAATAAGATGCCTTTCAATTCAAAATTGACGATTCATTCATGGGTCTTAAAGCGACAAAACGGAACATTCTGATAATCAAGGCAAGAGCACTCGTGAGTCTTCTTCGTGAGCGACTTTGGCTAATTAACGCTCAAGAGGTCTGTCGTCAGACAGTGAGATCATGTATCCGTTGCTTTAAATGCAAACCTCGTCTGCTAACACAAATTATGGGAAATTTACCAGCAGATCCGAGCTCTCTGCCCATTTTCTATCTGTGGCTTCGATTTTTGTGGCCTAATTAGCACGGCTTTTCGAATAAGTGGAAAGTCGTACATAGCACTGTTTGTTTGATTCGCATCCAAAGTGGTTCATTTAGAACCAGTATTTGAATTATCCACTAATACATTTTTAATGGCTTTTCAAAGGTTCTTCGGCCGTCGAGTAGTCCCACAGACCATCCATTGCTACAACGCTACGAACTTCGTAGGAGCAAGTCGCCAGTTCCTGGAGTTGCGAGCTCGAATCGAGAAAGAGGCATCAAAAAGCGGATACGAATTTGCGTTCATACCGCCAAGAGCTCCGCACTTCGGGGGTTTGTGGGAGGCAGGTGTGAAGTCTGCAAAGCACCTACTCCTACGGACGGTAGGCAGCTTACTGCTAACGGCCGAGGAGCTGCAGACGACTCTTGTCGCAGTGGAGCCGTTCTCAATTCCAGGCCTCTGGGAGCAATAAGCGAGGGGACCCCGGACAAGCAGGGTCTCACCTGCTTGAATCGCTGGCGAGCTGTCTCGTTGCTCAAGCAACAGTTTTGCGGCGATGGTCAAAGGAGTATGTGCTCGGAGCAAGTGTTCAAGATATAAGTTTTTTACAATACCTTAATGTACAACCGACTTTTCATATAACAACTGGTTGATAAAGTGGTCCGCTGTTTTTAGGGGTTTGCATACACGTAAGGAGCTAAATAAAACTTATAAATTCCAATTTTGATCAACACATTATGATAACAATAAAGTTGTTCATAAAAGTACTTAATTTTCGACCGATCAAAATCCTTTGATAGCTATTTGATATAGTTGTTGTTTAGAAAATGTTGTATAGACACAAATTCCTAGTTTGATCCAGATATCTTAATAAACAAAGTTTTCTTTACAAGGACCTTATTTGCTCAACCGATAGTTCGCATGCCAACTATTTGATATAGCTCTGATATTTTTCGGATTTTGATTATTTGTAAGGAGCTAAATGAAAGTTATAAATGCAACGTATCTACAACATATTTTGAAAGACAATATCGTTGTTCAAAAAAGTAATGTATTTTCAAACTATTGTAGCTATATGTGGGTTGGGTAAATGCTGTATACCCAAATCCCACTGTGCACAACCAACAGCACAAGAATCCCTAGACATCGAGCTCGCTAAAAGATGGACGACGAATACACGACGCGTAACAACGAGTATCCAAACGGCGAGTTATCCAAAAACGACGATCAACGAGGACAGTACAAAGCCACGAGGGCAACGTACTGGACGTCGAGCAGAAGATGATTGCTCGTTACTTTGATTCGAATGCTAAGCATCCTAAGCAATACAATTTGTTAAATCAACAATACGCTTTGTTCGTAGCAGAACGCCCTCTGAATAATATTATATCTGAATTACAATATATCTTTACTTCTCAAATCACGATATTGAAGTCACATACTATTATTTTTAAACTCCCATAAAATACCATTGTAAATTGCTCACCACTAATCTATCGATTGTTATTAAGAAGTAAATCACGCATTACAAGCAGTCTAAAGGCTCCTTTGATTTTTATTAAAATTTATAAAACATAAAAGGGGCCGAAGTGGGGTGCAAACCAGCATCTCCTCAAAACATTGGTGACCCCGACGTGATTTTTATTTCTTGCTTCTCGTCTTGCCGCAAATCTTTTTTTCGTTGTTCATCGCTCTTTTGCCGCTGCAGCATAGGCACTAAACTCAAGTACAGACATATGTACATATGTATGTACATATTTCGCACACCGGCTCGAGTGCGCGCTTCTCTCTAACGATCTTATCGCGTTATTTAGCAGATCGGCTATTATAACCAAGCTGTTTGGTGCATATCAGTGCCAAGCACAACCATTTGCTTAGAAAAGAAGCCGTCGAGCAGATACCTACATACTTACATACATACATATGAATGTGAATGCAAGTGCCGCTACAATTGATCTCGATACATACACATACACAAGCCGCTGCACACATAAAACGGTAATGCGCTTCTGTTCAACGCCAACTATTAGCAATGAACGAATTCTTCAGCGCTGGTGAGATGATCAGCTTTGACGAGGCCGATCTGATGGTGCGTATAGAATCTGCGGAGAGCATGAAGGCCGAGTTTAATATCAGCCAGTCAAGGCTAGAAAAATTAGATTTGCTCGAGCTTTCAACGTACGCACGCTCAGACTTCGAGAAGGTTTACTGGAAGATCAAATCCACTCTCGCTCGTCAAATGGACGTAGTCACTAAGGGACGTATGACTGACGCCAATTCAACAACTATCCCACGCTTTGCTGAAAGTAATCACACATTTGCTCACTTGTTCAACCGTAAGTCTCGCCTACCGGAATTGCAGCTGCCCAGGTTCAGCGGCTCCTACGAGGATTGACGCTCAAGAGGTCTGTCGTCAGACAGTGAGATCATGTATCCGTTGCTTTAAATGCAAACCTCGTCTGCTAACACAAATTATGGGAAATTTACCAGCAGATCCGAGCTCTCTGCCCATTTTCTATCTGTGGCTTCGATTTTTGTGGCCTAATTAGCACGGCTTTTCGAATACGTGGAAAGTCGTACATAGCACTGTTTGTTTGATTCGCATCCAAAGTGGTTCATTTAGAACCAGTATTTGAATTATCCACTAATACATTTTTAATGGCTTTTCAAAGGTTCTTCGGCCGTCGAGTAGTCCCACAGACCATCCATTGCTACAACGCTACGAACTTCGTAGGAGCAAGTCGCCAGTTCCTGGAGTTGCGAGCTCGAATCGAGAAAGAGGCATCAAAAAGCGGATACGAATTTGCGTTCATACCGCCAAGAGCTCCGCACTTCGGGGGTTTGTGGGAGGCAGGTGTGAAGTCTGCAAAGCACCTACTCCTACGGACGGTAGGCAGCTTACTGCTAACGGCCGAGGAGCTGCAGACGACTCTTGTCGCAGTGGAGCCGTTCTCAATTCCAGGCCTCTGGGAGCAATAAGCGAGGGGACCCCGGACAAGCAGGGTCTCACCTGCTTGAATCGCTGGCGAGCTGTCTCGTTGCTCAAGCAACAGTTTTGCGGCGATGGTCAAAGGAGTATGTGCTCGGAGCAAGTGTTCAAGATATAAGTTTTTTACAATACCTTAATGTACAACCGACTTTTCATATAACAACTGGTTGATAAAGTGGTCCGCTGTTTTTAGGGGTTTGCATACACGTAAGGAGCTAAATAAAACTTATAAATTCCAATTTTGATCAACACATTATGATAACAATAAAGTTGTTCATAAAAGTACTTAATTTTCGACCGATCAAAATCCTTTGATAGCTATTTGATATAGTTGTTGTTTAGAAAATGTTGTATAGACACAAATTCCTAGTTTGATCCAGATATCTTAATAAACAAAGTTTTCTTTACAAGAACCTTATTTGCTCAACCGATAGTTCGCATGCCAACTATTTGATATAGCTCTGATATTTTTCGGATTTTGATTATTTGTAAGGAGCTAAATGAAACTTATAAATGCAACGTATCTACAACATATTTTGAAAGACAATATCGTTGTTCAAAAAAGTAATGTATTTTCAAACTATTGTAGCTATATGTGGGTTGGGTAAATGCTGTATACCCAAATCCCACTGTGCACAACCAACAGCACAAGAATCCCTAGACATCGAGCTCGCTAAAAGATGGACGACGAATACACGACGCGTAACAACGAGTATCCAAACGGCGAGTTATCCAAAAACGACGATCAACGAGGACAGTACAAAGCCACGAGGGCAACGTACTGGACGTCGAGCAGAAGATGATTGCTCGTTACTTTGATTCGAATGCTAAGCATCCTAAGCAATACAATTTGTTAAATCAACAATACGCTTTGTTCGTAGCAGAACGCCCTCTGAATAATATTATATCTGAATTACAATATATCTTTACTTCTCAAATCACGATATTGAAGTCACATACTATTATTTTTAAACTCCCATAAAATACCATTGTAAATTGCTCACCACTAATCTATCGATAGTTATTAAGAAGTAAATCACGCATTACAAGCAGTCTAAAGGCTCCTTTGATTTTTATTAAAATTTATAAAACATAAAAGGGGCCGAAGTGGGGTGCAAACCAGCATCTCCTCAAAACATTGGTGACCCCGACGTGATTTTTATTTCTTGCTTCTCGTCTTGCCGCAAATCTTTTTTTCGTTGTTCATCGCTCTTTTGCCGCTGCAGCATAGGCACTAAACTCAAGTACAGACATATGTACATATGTATGTACATATTTCGCACACCGGCTCGAGTGCGCGCTTCTCTCTAACGATCTTATCGCGTTATTTAGCAGATCGGCTATTATAACCAAGCTGTTTGGTGCATATCAGTGCCAAGCACAACCATTTGCTTAGAAAAGAAGCCGTCGAGCAGATACCTACATACTTACATACATACATATGAATGTGAATGCAAGTGCCGCTACAATTGATCTCGATACATACACATACACAAGCCGCTGCACACATAAAACGGTAATGCGCTTCTGTTCAACGCCAACTATTAGCAATGAACGAATTCTTCAGCGCTGGTGAGATGATCAGCTTTGACGAGGCCGATCTGATGGTGCGTATAGAATCTGCGGAGAGCATGAAGGCCGAGTTTAATATCAGCCAGTCAAGGCTAGAAAAATTAGATTTGCTCGAGCTTTCAACGTACGCACGCTCAGACTTCGAGAAGGTTTACTGGAAGATCAAATCCACTCTCGCTCGTCAAATGGACGTAGTCACTAAGGGACGTATGACTGACGCCAATTCAACAACTATCCCACGCTTTGCTGAAAGTAATCACACATTTGCTCACTTGTTCAACCGTAAGTCTCGCCTACCGGAATTGCAGCTGCCCAGGTTCAGCGGCTCCTACGAGGATTGGCCGGATTTGTACGCCATGTACAAGACTGTCATTGGCAGCAATGAGGACCTGAGTAAGATTGAGAAATTACAACATTTACGTGCGTGCTTGGATGGTGCTGCTCTCAACACAATCAAATCGTTAGAGCCTGTCGACGTGAATTACGACAAGGCGTTGGAGTTACTCATAAATCGTTTTGATAATAAGTTGCTACATTTTCAGGGCCACGTGCGGGCTATAGTCGGGCTGCCAGGTGTTGAAAAGGGATCAGCAGAGGCGTTGCGTGAGTTGAGTGACAAAATTAACTCGCATTCGGGCGCTTAGCACAACTGAGGAGCTGGCTGACGGATTACTCATACACATAATATCGCACAAGCTCGATCACCACACCCAGGAAAAGTGGCAGGAAGCGCTTGCAACGGATAAGCTACCCAGGTGGACGGATATGTCGGCGTTCTTAGAGAGAGGATGCCGCATGATGGAAAGCTTGAAAGGCGCTACGGCACCTACGCCTAGCCACCAGGTTACCAGAAATGTACAAAAATTGAATCGTAACACATTCATTGCATCCTCATCTAACAATTACCAGCAAAATTGTAATTTTTGCGACTCAAAAGAGCATTTTCTTGTTAAATGCCCGTTGTTTTTGAATCTGTCCCCAAGTTTGCGCCACAAGGAGGCCAAGCGATTGCATCTTTGCCTAAACTGCTTGCGCAAAGGGCATGGCTTGCAGCAATGTCGCTCAGGTCACTGCAGGCATTGTCAACAAAAACATCATTCGTTGCTGCACATGAGCCCCATCACAACTCAATCATCTGCCCTGTTACACCAAGCTTGCAGGCTGCAACCACGATCCAGCCTCACGCATCGTCTTCAAGTAATCCACCATCTTCAACTCTCGTCAGCACTGCCCTTGAATTCGCACCTGAAGCCACGAATGCCCAGCCTGTAGACTATGTGGTGCTTCCAACCGCCATCTTATATGCCAAGAGCCACTCAGGTGTATTCATACCCTGCCGTGCATTACTGGATTCTGGATCTCAACTCAACTTTATCACTGCTCGTCTAGTAAAGCAGCTCCAACTCAAAACTCATCATGCTGCCGTATCAATATCTGGTATAGGCGAATCAACCCTATCTTCTAACATGTCCACTGACATATCAGCGCAGTCACGTGATAGGAGCTTCAGCACATCATTTTCAGCAGTCGTTACTCGCGGTATAACGGATTATCAGCCCTACTTTGGGTTAGACATCTCTGGGTGGAATATCCCCAAAAACATCTCGCTCGCGGATCCAACGTTTTTCAAATCTCAAAGAATAGATTTATTACTTGGTGCCGGACTATTTTTCGATCTCATTTGCATCGGCCAAATTCGAATGGCGGATAACCTACCAACGCTCCAAAAGACCAAGCTCGGATGGATTGCGTCTGGCGGACTCTCTCGCGTACACAACAAACACACATCCCTTTCAGCCCTTTACAAGGAACCTAATCCATGGGAGGATCCACTGTCGGATATTGTAAAACGATTCTGGGAAGTCGACAATTGCTGCGGTACAACCCCTGCGCTCTCTGATGAAGACGCACTATGTGAGCAGCTATTTCTTCAAGGCTACACGCGACTAAAGTCAGGGCAGTATTCAGTTAGGCTTCCAGCAAAGCTCAGCTTCGATACGCGGAGACTCATATCAACGTGCTCTACGACGTTTCAAGTCGTTCGAAAACAAATTGGACAAAAATCACCAGCTGAAGGAGAGCTACTCTGCATTCATGCGCGAATACATCGACTTGGGCCACATGTCTTTGGCTTCCAAGCAGCAGCTTGTCCGACAATTCTATTTACCCCACCACTGCGTAGAAAAGCCAGATAGCTCAACCACCAAATTTCGCGTCGTTTTTGATGGATCAGCCAAATCCACATCAGGCGCATCTCTGAATGATCTCTTGCATACAGGCCCAGCAATTCAACCCAAATTATTCAACAATCTAATTCAGTTTCGTTTTTTAAAGGTTGCCATGTGCGGTGACATCTGTAAGATGTACCGCTGTGTCCGAATAACGCATCCAGATCAATTTCTGCAATGCATCTTATGGCGTGATCACCAAAATGAAAGCATAAGGACGTACACCCTGGATACAGTAACGTATGGAACCAAACCCGCTGCGTTTCTAGCAATTCGAGCGATGCAGCAGCTGGCCCACGACGAAGAGCCTACCTTTCCACTAGCTGCAAAGATAGTTTGTCGCGACTTCTACGTAGACGATTTAATTTCTGGAGGGGACTCTATAGAAGAAGCCATTCAGATCCGACAGCAAGTAAAACTGCTACTGGCTAAAGGTCACTTTCCAATCAGAAAGTGGTGCTCAAACGAGCCTGATGCATTAAAAGGAGAAAGCGAATCCGATTGTGAGAAGCTAATGGAGTTCAAGGATGGCACCAACATTGCAAAGACGCTTGGTTTAGCTTGGAGCCCTAGCTCTGATAGCCTGCTTTTCAACTTTGCGGAGATCGTACCCGAAGGATCAGTCACAAAGCGGAGCATGTTATCAATGATAGCGAGATTTTACGATCCGCTCGGATTGATCGCGCCCATCGTTACCAGGTTAAAGGTATTTCTCCAAGCACTGTGGAAGGAAAGGGTCAATTGGGACGAATGCCTGTCGCAGTCGCTGCACTTCGAATGGATCAAACTCATATCGCAACTCTCATTTGTCAGCAGCTTGAAATTCTCCCGTTTTGTATTGATGCCACTGGCTACGTAAGAGCTGCATGGATTTTGCGACGCCAGCACAGCCGCTTATGGTGCTTGCGTATTTGTCAGATCCGAAATGCAAGGGGTATTTTCATCACATTTGCTATGCTCTAAATCAAGGGTCGCCCCATTAAAGACGCTGACAATCCCAAAGCTTGAGCTGGCAGCTGCACTTTTATTATCAGAGCTCTTAGGAAACATTGCCAAGTGCATTCAGTTCGAATGCAGATATCATTGCTGGACCGACTCAACAGTAGCGCTTGCATGGATTCGTGAATCACCTTCAAAGTTTAACGTCTTTGTATCCAACAGGGTATCACAAATACAGGAGCGGACCAAGGGCATGACCTGGCATCATGTACCCTCTCAGCTGAACCCTGCGGACATTTTATCACGTGGATGCACACCTTTGAAACTTTTAGACTCACAGCTATGGCATAATGGACCCCCATTTATACAGGCCGCTAGCTCGACTTTGCCTCAAAACGTCGACTATCCCTTTGAGCTTCCAGAACGACGCCAGAAAGTGCTGGTACTATCAACGAAGACGGACCTATCGGCATCTTGTAAATTCAACAACACATTTGCCAAGTTACAGCGCACTTTCGCATACGTGTATCGATTTATAGCGCTAAAAAGATCTGATTCGACGAGTTCAAAAGGTCCACTCACTCCAGATGATATCAAGTGCGGAACGCATTTACTTATAAAAAACATTCAACTTACGCACTTCGCCGAAGAGTACAAAGCACTCAGCTTAAAAAGGCCGCTTCCAACAAGAAGCAAACTTCGTTCATTGTGCCCACTGTTGGACGCTGAGGGACTCTTGCGCATCGGCGGGCGCCTTCAGAACTCAAACTTGGAACATGAAGCAAAGCATCCGTTATTGTTGCCTAAACGCCAGCCAGTGACCGCAGCTATGATCACATATTATCATTTGGAATTTCTTCATGCTGGTCCGCAATTCCTTCTAGCAACACTCCGCCAGCGATACTGGCCCATCGGAGGTCTCAAGGCTGTCTCAAATATCATCAACAGGTGCGTGCGCTGCTTTCGAATGCGACCTAAACTTCTGGAGCAAGTCATGGCCCCGCTACCAGCTGAGCGTGTGCAGCCAAGTCCGACGTTTCACGTAACTGGCATCGACTTTTGCGGTCCTTTCTACGTCAAATCAGAGGTCAGGAATCGCTCACCAACGAAATGCTACATCTCAATTTTTATATGCTTTGCAACGAAAGCAACGCATTTAGAGTTGGTAGAGGACCTGTCCACGTCATCGTTTATCGCTGCCTTGAAGAGATTCATCAGCCTTCGAGGGAAACCGCATACAATATGGACAGACAACGCCACAAATTTCGAGGGTGCTCGAAATGAGCTGAAGGAACTGCGCGACCTGTTTATAAGCGATCCCCAGCGCAATGAGATTGTTCGCAACTGCGTAGCTCTGGGAATCAACTGGAAATTCATTCCGCCCCGTTCGCCACATTTTGGAGGATTGTGGGAGGCCGCTGTCAAGTCAGCAAAATATCATTTTTACCGCGTCGTTGGAAATTCTCTTCTCTCATTCCACGAATTCCGAACTCTCATCTGTCAAATATCCGCAATGCTTAACTCAAGACCGCTTTGCTCTATTACAGAAAACCCGAATGACTTGGAGATACTCACGCCTGGGCACTTCATCTGGGGCAAAGCCAATGCCACTATCGACGAGCCAGACATAACTTACCTAAGCATAGGTCGCCTCAGCCGTTGGCAGCGAATATGTCACATGCAGCAATCATTTTGGAAGAAATGGAGTACATCGTATTTGTCGTTGCTCCAAGAGCGCGGGAAATGGCGATCGTCCACGCAAAATCTTCAGGCCGGCAGCATCGTGCTGCTCAAGGAGGACAATGCACCACCACTCAGGTGGCCGCTTGGACGAGTCGACAGCGTCATCACGGGTGACGACGGCATTGTGAGAGTAGCAGTCATTCGTACACAAAATGGTCTGGTCAAGAGAGCCATTGCCAAAATCGCCGTTCTGCCAATCGAGACCACATCGGTTGAAAGCTTGTATCTTCCAACGGGGGGAGCATGTTCGCAGCAGAACGCCCTCTGAATAATATTATATCTGAATTACAATATATCTTTACTTCTCAAATCACGATATTGAAGTCACATACTATTATTTTTAAACCACCATAAAATAACATTGTAAATTGCTCACCACTAATCTAGTTATTGTTGAAAGTTCGAGAAGTAAATCACGCATTACAAGCAGTCTAAAGGCTCCTTTGATTTTTATTAAAATTTATAAAACATAAAAGGGGCCGAAGTGGGTTGCAAACCAGCATCTCCTCAAAACACACTTGTTTATAATAAACTTTTAATATAAAACCCCACATTTTGGGCGCTCGTCCGAGATTGAGCAAGTGTGAGCACGAGTGAGCAAGATTAAGCAATATTGAGCAAGATTGAACAGGAGTGAACAAAGTTGAAAACGATCTTACGTTACAACAATAATTGTGCAAAAAAAAAAAAAAAGAAACTCTTCGTATTGAGTGAGAGAGGTTTGAGCACTTGGAACTCTCTCAAACGAGCACTCTTGGCAGAATTCAGTTCAAGTGTAAGCAGTAAAGAAATTCACGAACAGCTCGCGCAGACGAAACGCAGCAACAACGAGTGTGTATTCGAATACTTTTATAGAATGAAAGACATTGCTTCTCGAGGTCAAATTGCAGATGACGCTTTCATACAGTATTTAATTGACGGAATATATGAGAGAGGTGGAAACAAATCAATATTATACGGTGCGAAAAATTTAAATCAATTCAAAGAAAAGTTGAAATGTTATACAACAATGATTGAAAAAGAGTGTCGAGTCGAAAAGGAAAAAACAAAGCGTAACGATTGCAGTGTTAAAGAAAGAGACAAAAAAGCTTTCAACGTAAGCAAAGATGCAAAAAAAGATGTGAAATGCTTTAACTGTGGTGAAAAAGGGCATACGTCTAATTATTGTCAAAATAAAAATAAAGGAAAAATATGTTTCAGATGCAATCAAAACGGTCATATCTCGAAAGATTGTGAACAAATTGAGAAAAGTGAGGCCGTAATATCAAATACACGCAGTTTGCAAAACAAAAACGATTTATCCCGTAAAGAAGTATGTTTCTCAAATAAGAAATGTGTAGCGTTATTTGATACTGGCAGTAAATTCAATATCATCCGTGAAGACTTTTATTGTGAAGTTGGCAAGCCGAAGCTAGAAAACTGCAATGTTATTCTTATTGGATTCGGCAGTGAGCGCATTGAGAATAAAATAAAACCAACTGGACATTTTAAACATCTAATTCTTATTGGCGATGAAGAGTTTATACTTGATTTTTACGTGGTTCCAATTAAATGTATTGATGTCAAAGTTATTCTTGGCGAAGAACTATGTTTACAGGCTGAGATTGTAATTAGTCGTAACGGTTTACAAGTTCGCAAAATGTCAAACAGTGAAGAGATAATTGAGAAGTATCGCAACAAACTGACGGCACTGGAACCCGAAATACAAAACATACCCGACGAGGAGCAGGCGGAACGTCAGCTGGCCAAAACGGAACAGCAACTGTCTAAAACCGAACATAAACTGCTGGGCCAGCCCAGCGAGAGACGCACCTGGTTCCAAACCAAGCAACAGCGTGAGAATGAAAAGGCTCGTCTAGCGCTCACCTCTAACGACGATGAGTCCAAGCCAGCGCCAGCAGCTGGTAAAGGGAAGACGGCAGGTAAACGCAAGCGTCCAGAGTACGGCGGCGATGGCGAGGACGGCCCACCAGTTAAGGAGCTAGACGCTAAGCGCAAAAAGAAGAAGAAGGAGGAGCCCAGAAAGAAAACACCAGAACAGCTCGCCAAGGAGCGTGCCATGAAGGAAATTGAAAAGGTTTCGCTGGGTGCTGCCACCGATGCCCCGAAATATGTTGGTTCTACCGGAGGCAAGCCCAAGCGACGTGGCGGACAATCTGCCTTCGCCAATGATCTAACCGCCAATAAGGCGGGTAAAAACAAATTAAGAGCAAAGGCAAAAACACAAATTTTAAAAATTCAAAATGAAAATAAAAATACGTACAATTTGAGACGAAAGCATGCAAGACGTTATAATGTTGGCGACCTTATTGCCATAAAGCGCACACAGTTTGGTAGTGGCCTAAAATTAAAGCCTAAGTTTTTGCCCTATCAAGTCGTTAAGATTAAGCATAACAACGCGTATGCTGTCCAGAAAGTAGGCAAAGTAGCAATTGCGATGGGCCGAAGAATTCTGCAACGAGGGCCGAATATATGAAGCCATGGTCCATTGGCAGCGATGATGAAGATGACGAGGAAGCATTCGGGCCGAACGCTTAGTCAGAATGGCCGAATGTGGGTTGGGTAAATGCTGTATACCCAAATCCCACTGTGCACAACCAACAGCACAAGAATCCCTAGACAACGAACACGCTAAAAGATGAACGACGAATACACGACGCGTAACAACGAGCAAAGAAGACGGCGAATTCGCAGACGGCGAGTTATCCAAAAACGACGATCAACGAGGACAGTACAAAGCCACGAGGGCAACGTACTGGACGTCGAGCAGAAGATGATTGCTCGTTAAGACGAAAAGTTCAACGCTGGACCTGTGTGGTATGAAGGCTGAGAACAAAACGACGAAACGACGCTTTACTTTGATTCGAATGCTAATCATCGTAAGCAATACAATTTGTTAAATCAACAATACACTTGTTTATAATAAACTTTTAATATAAAACCCCACATACATGATATAGTATTCCGATGTTTTTTGTTAGGCCATCAACCAAAATAAAACAAACGGCCGTGTGCATAGGGATGGGAGGTTCGCAGTTCTTGCTCATGCACGGACAAGAGCTCGTCGGGCTGGTCGTGTTTTTTTTTCTTTCCCTTCTGCACTTACCATAAACACAAAGTATAAGTGCGATGAAAAAAAAAAAATTACTGATTTAAATAAATCCATTAAATAGCAAGCTACTAGTATGTGTATCCCTTAATGTGTTCCGACCGAACATACAAATTCAAACTATTCAATTTCGCTTAAGTGAGAGAACTAAGGTGTTGATCGTCTCTCTTTCTCTCTACCGTCCCTACCTTGACAAGCAACAAAAAAATGGAATGTGGATGCATGTCCCTATTTTAGGTTCTTAAACCATCACTATAAATTGCAAACGGCTAACATGGGTACTTGACTATTGATATCAAATAAGCTAATATAATTCATTTATTCACGCGTTGTTCGTTTTCGAGCATGATGTCAACTAACAGATACATAGGTAAACCTCGATTTCCAAAAATAAGTTTCAAAAATTCAACTTCAAAGTTAATATAATGTATGTACAGTAATTAGTTTAAAGAACATATGGAAATTAGGTGAAAGGAGAAATTCACCGACATTATTTTAAGATTTGATGGATAGTAATTAATTTACCGTCCTGCAATATTAAGCTGCATTTAAATGTTCATATATATATCTATATATATACATATATACCATACACTTACAAGTGTTGTTTCGAACTCACTGTGGGTTTTAACTGTTACTAACTCAATTTCCTCCGAAGCAGACGTTGGGCGCAATGTGTACGACTAGTAGGATCGCTGTTGCTAAATAGTACAAAAGAAGTTTATAAGAATATAAGCACATGTATATATGAGCAGCGATCAAGATCAATGGTGTGGAATTTTCTCTCGCTTTTACTTATTTAGACATATTCATTGCATATTTTTTACAAAAATTAGACAAAAAAATAAAAACTAAGGAACTAAGGATATGGCACTGGCTTCTAAGCAACCGAAAGGGTACACCAAATGTAATACAGACTTAGCTTCTTCGTTACTCTCTACAGGTTACGCTATATGCTTAGTGCATGAGGCCCCCGATGGTGCTGCACAAGTAGTGAGCGCTTGACGACGTTTTCCGATGCTATGCCATACCGCGGCTGATAAGTACAATAGCAATAAAATTTGTCCTACTGGGCTGCTAAGTGCGACACGTGCTCTTGGTGTTGCCCTTATCTGATCCGATCTCCACTTCTGGTAGCGCCGACTAGCACTTCTAAATATTCCCGCTGATCTTTGTCAGCAAGCTACTGACGTGTGGAACTGGTCTGGCCAACAGAGCAGGCACGAAAACTGTGGAAGCCTTAATTAATTCCAAGTCTCAACACTAGCACATATAAATACCTTTTCTTTAAGGGTCACCCCGAATCAGAGTTAGGTTATTGGGTCGAGTTGATATGAAGGTTTTTGGTTTCTATTAGCGTACCCAAAAGAAAACTTCGAAACTGTACCACACTTGCAATCTTGGTTTCTTTTGCAAAAATTATTGACAATGAAAAATTATGTGAACTTAACTCGGCCACGCTTCATTTATATGCATGCAGTGCTGTACTTTTAACCTCTAATACTTCCCAAAGACAAAAAAAGAAGAGAGAAAGAAAGCTTTCAAAAGCTCTACATCACGCGATTATACTTTAAAACGTTACTATGGCCTGATCTTATCACCTCTTGCTCTATTCGCCCTATTCGGTTGCGCGTGTGGGAGATATGGTTAGCCAAGCAAAGCAGCTTCATTAGCTAGTTGATAGTAGGCTGGGCTGACTTTTCGTACAACTATCGCGGGAACGAAAACTGATACAAGCTTAGAACTAAACTTCTTTTGCGCTTTACTCAGACAAAAATTGCAGGCGAAGACTTTCGTACCGGCCGTAAGACTTATATTTCGGTTGCGCATATTATATATCTTAGCGTTACTATTATGTGACTGAGCTACATTGTCTTTCTTCGGATTAATTGTAAAGCCGTGGGTCGATCGATCCCACTGCGCTGAGTTTGTGTAGTACTCCGATCTTTTTAGCACTTGGCATATAAAGAGAGAGCGAAGTGAAACCTTAACCTATCTTAATAAACAAAAAGTGTCTTAACAAGAACCAATCTTTCAACCGATTGTTGCTGAGTCCTCAAGATATCTTAATAAACAAAAAGTTTTCTTTACAAGAATCTACTTAATAAGCGACCGATTCTAAGGCGCTGATTTTATAAAGTGCTCCAATGTTGTTAGCATTTTGAATATAAAAAGTGAGTATAATAAAAAGAATATTAAGTGAAA